ACTCGAACGCTGCGCTGAGGTCTAACACAGATGAGTCCACATCAGGCCACATGTTTATCCAGGCAAGCTTACAGCACATTATAGCAAACACAAGAGCAGTCCTACCTGCTGTCGTATGCGTGGGTTCCAGCGGATGTAGTACGCTACCCAGAGCTCTAGGTGGCGCATGCTGGCAACAGGGTAGAGAACCCTGCCAGATTCTGGGGTGTAGAAGGGGTTTAAATACATATCCATCTTGCTGTTGACCAGAGACCACAGAGACACAGTCTTGGACCTCACCTCCTGCACCACAGAAGAGTTTCAGTGTCAAACATTTGCAGCTGAAGCACACAACATAAGTATGTGGACAGTGACACAGTTTTGATCATTTTTTCTGTGTAATTTTAACTTTCTTAGAGATTTTGTTTTGTAACACTGTATTTATTTTGTTGCATTGATTTCCATGCTTTGTACCACACTAATTTCCAACTTTGAGTATAAATAAAGTATTTCTTATCACGTTAACAGCAGGAACTGCAGACATTTTTATATGTAGTTCCTTATTTTCAACCTACCAGACAGACAGCAAAACCTCTAGGAGTTGCCAAATCCATGACCTGGACATGGACTACTACTAAATGAACAGCACTGTATATCCTGGAAGATCATGGATGACAGACTGCAGGACCTCTATTTCACAACATCTAGCCAGGTCAAGAACACTTCTGAGCTGAGACGTGTAACATTGACAGCGTCTACAGTTAAGAGGCACCTTTATAAATATAAATACAGCACAATGCAACAAGAAGACCGGATTAGACCAGAAAACAACTAAAAGAGTCAGTTATGGGAAAACATCTTTGAATGAAATGAAACCAAAATAAAGTTGCAGTAGGACGAATGAAAGAGGAAAGCAGGAAAAGGAAAGTTCAAACATGGTGATGGCTGGGAATGTACGGCTGCCAGGAGAACCAAGTCACTGCTGTTAACTGACATGGATGCTGACAGAAGCAGGACGATGGATACAGCCAAATACCGAAAACCTGATTGGTGATGCTTCGCCATGGAAACGGATAATGAGCCAAAGCATACTTCAAAGGACACCGAACACAACGAAACATGTGATTCAGCTGCTGAAGACAAAACTGACGGCAACAGCCAGCCAGCCTTTTAAGTTGTAGTAAAAACTCTCATTGGACCAAACTCTATATTACAAGGACACAATTTTCACATTTTTGCATGCATGTACATGTGTTGTAACAACTTCACGATGTTATATGTGCAGGTATTCTTACATGCTGGTCTCGTACGCTCTCGCAGTTGTACAGGAAGGTCCCGAAGCGACAGCTGTAGAGGTGATCCAGGATCGTCAGCAGGAGATGCTCGTTAAACTCGAAGGCCGTAGGGAACTAAGAGATGAGAGTGACAATTCAAAGACCGAGTCCGTAATCTGAGACGTTAGTGAACATACAAACATTCAGCAGTGTTCCTGTCTTTTTGTTGGGATGTTTCCTTCTCTCTTTTGTCAAATGCATTGAGTCAAACAGCATTTTGAGTATTTTGAGCCCTAACCAGAGCAGCTCAGAGTGGTGGAGCGTGTGCCTGAACCAGCAGGTGGCTGGTTGGTCTGTGCAGCTGGACTGAGAAGAGTTCACAGTGTGGTGACATAAAGTGAAATCCAGAGCGTAGCAGCCAAACAGCGTCAGCCGAGGAGGTGAACGTGGGTGAGAAAGACAAATTTGGACTCTTCTGTTTTTACAATCATCATTTCAAATGCGTGTTTCGTGTTTTTGTAGTCAGTTTTAAAATGTTGTTGGTTTGATTTATACAGAGAGTCCCAGTGAGACGTGAGAGGCATTCAACTTACAACAGGAACGAGCTCTCAGTGACGATCGATGATGATTTGAGCTCAACGAAGCCAAAACTCATTTTGAATCTTCTGCTTCTGTAACGAGCTGTTATGTTGTTTGTTGCACTCTTTGTTTATTTGTTTATTCTCATTCATATTTGAACTATACAACAATCTGCAATGAAATTCATCCGAAATATTTGTTCGTCTTCAAGAAATGCCGCCTGTGCTGCTGGTGCAGACGAGCCTCCTGGGGGCTCCAGTTTCAAACTAAGCATGAACAGTTAACTGATACGCTCTGTTCTCAAGTTATCGACCCTTCACGAGGTGTCGGGTTCAGGGGTCTGCTCTATATTATTGGAAATATGGTGCATCGGGTGACACCTCCAGCTCCAGTATGCAGACTGGGAGCTGGAAATGAGTGGCGTGCCCACATGAGGAGGGGAATGCATGCCGGCCTAAATGGAGGCATTAAAGTATTTGTGGGTCTTGTTCATTAGTGACAAAAGTAGATGAGTGATAGAAGTAGGGAGTGGCAGCTTAACAAAGCTGGGTCTGCAGTAATGGTGACACTCGATCCCAGTCTGCGGTGGTGAAAAGAGAAGCGAGCATGAAAGCGAAGAGGTCCGTTTAGTGAATTTACTCTCCCGTTCTTGTCAGTGGCCACAAACGATGGATAGGCGCTGAGATGAGAAGGAGAATGATGAACGAGGCAGATAAGAGTGCCTGAAATGCCCGTCAGAGGGCATCTGCGATCTCTCTCAGCGACATGTTTAGGAGCTCTGGGTTGAGCCAGTATTCTAAATAAAAAGGAGTCATTCGAGGCAGAAGATTAGAACAACTCTTGGCTCCTCCTAACTGAGGTATTTTCGGCATGTCCAACTGGGAGGAGGCCCCAAGTTAAACCCCGGTCACACTTGATTATTGACTAGCTTGGGAAGTTCTGGTATGCCAAAAGAAGAGCTGGAAGAGGAAGCTGTGGCATCTCTGTTCAAGCCCTTCTGCTTTTCCATCAGTACCTACCTACAAACTCAGTGTTGCTACGACTGTCACAGGAAACCAGCCACGGAGGGTGTCGGGTCGAGGGTTATCTACAAACTGCTAGCTGCTTTTTAGCTACAAAGTGCAACATTGTTACGTTCCTACATTCACGCAGTGAGACGACTGCACGTACCTGTTTAGTCATCTGCCACACACAGTCGATGAACTGAACAAAGATGGGTGATCTGTCCTGATCGGCATGGTTTTTGTCACCATGTCCTATCCTCTGAACACACACACAGACACACACACAGATCAGAAACGGTTCCTCCTAATCAGTCATCTTAACTCATGCAATTGAGCATATTTCAGAAACTAGATGGTGAAAAACTTACTGAGGCAAATTTGTGGCCGAAGCTGATCCATTCCTTTTCAATCAAAACCTAAAAAAGACACAATCACAACTTTTAAATATCAAACAGGCATCATGATGACATTAAAGCCTGCGGTGCTCCTCATATCCTCTGTGAAAGTCTACAGCTCATGCTCATGTGTGAAACGACTGACCTGGAAGCCTCTGAGAGTGCGATAGTGGCTGTCCAGCATCAGCATGGCCAGAGAGGTGAGCTGTGCAGTTCGGTCCCAGCCGTCACTGCAGTGAACTACTACGGAGTTACCACTGGACACTTTGTCTGCAACTTGGATGGCTCCTGACAACACCAGCTACGTACAAGGGTTAGCACAACGCAATAAAAATACATTATTATAACAAGGTAATGTAAATGGTAAATGGACTGTTTCTTATGTAGCGCTTTTCTACTCTTTAACTAACTAACATTCATACTCCGATGGATGCATCGGAGAGTGATTTGGGGTTAGTATCTTGCCCAAGGATATTTGGCATGCAGGGATCGAACCACCAACCTTCTGATCAGTAGATGACCTGCTGTATCACCTGAGCTACAGCCACATCATGTAAGCACTGACCAGTTTTCAGATGCACGTAGAAACCTCTCACCTTGACATGTTCCAACCAGTGTGTCGACTCTAGGCTGGACAGCCAGTGGGATTCCTCCACGTTGGGGTAGACGATATCTTTGAGTTTCTTCTGGGATTCCCTCATGACGTGGATATTTTGGATGTCCAAGAAGATGAGCTCTGCATTTTGGTACTCATCACCCTCGTAGCCTCCTCCAGTGGCCTGAGGATTGCACAAACAGTGGGCATGCATCTCTACACACTCAGGTGTCTGTAACAGTATCAGTGGAATTAACTGGGTAAGAGACTTTTGTTAATGTTTGGGACTAATGATGACAGTGCTCTTTAATTCTTTTAGGGATCATCCTGCAACATAATAAATATTTATTATCCCAATAACCTGTCGCTGGTTATATTAGACTCATTAGCATTGTGTCGCAGCAGGTTCAGGTAGACAAAGGTTAAGAGAGAGTGTGATGGAAGTACCCACAAAAATGGCGTTTTATAGGACGTTTTATTGTTTCATTTTCGCTGAGTGTTTTTTTTGCCCCACTATATCACAGATCA